CTGTGGTGACTTCATACGCCCCCTGACAGTTTGGATGATTGTTGCCAGTGACGGGTAAGACGAATCACTGCACATATCAACCTAAGACAGAGGCTTTCATTTTCCATCAATGGAAGTCCTCCATGACGGGTAAGAATGTTGCAGTATGGTTCACAACCTAAGACAGGCGCAATCGCCGTCATTGTTATTTAAGGGGGAACTGTGTGCTCACGCACACAAACAGTTAAGTTTTGCTGTGCTTAGCAAAACAAGGAGTTCTGTGAGAAAGTATGAACTTGGGCTAGGGATGTGGCTCAAGCGTGTCCGCCGATAACTAAAAAATAAATATTAAAAAAAAGAGAGAAAGTATGAACTCTTTGAACTGTGTCCTTGTTGCTGTCTTAAGAAGATAAAAGAATGTTCTGCCGAGTGTAAAATTTATATATATATATGTGTGTGTGTGTGTGTGTGTGTGTGTGTGTGTGTGTGTGTTTGCCTGGGAATAACTAATCACAAGTTAATTGATAAGAAATATGGAGCACTGTGACCATAAACAAAGTTTTCCTGAGAAGGTTTATCCATGCTTGTAAGGATTAAGCTGCTGAAAGGATGTTTTTTCTTTTCCCTGGTTTTAATTAACAATGCTGTATAAAAGAAGGAGAGAAAAAAGTAAAGACGGTGCTCATTTTCTACTGAATGCGTGTGTGTGCATGTGTATTTCTTAAGCATCTCTGCTGTACCAGGAATTACAGATTGTCAGCGGGTTCTGACAATTTTATTTTTATGTGGTGCTCAGGATTGAACCCAATGCCTCATGCATGCCAGGCAAGTGCACTACCACTTGAGCCACATCCCCAGCCCCACCCCCCTTTAAAAATATTTTTTAGTTGTAGATGGACACATATCTTTATTTATTTATTGTGGTGCTGAGGATCAAAAAACCAGTACCTCACATGTGTGAGCCAAGTGCTTTACCACGGAGCCACAACCCAGCCCAACCCCAGCCCTCTTGAAGAGTTTTTATACAGCTTCACTTCCAGTCCCATGCCAACAGCTCCCTGGAGGTCCATGGGTGGTGCTGAAAGTCACAGACTTCTAATAGCACACTCGTCTTGGGCTATCCGATGGCCCTCAGCTTGTCCTATGTTGCCTCATTAGCACAAACTCAGGTGTGATCTAAAGGGGACCTTAGTAACCAGCTATGCTCCTGGCCATAGGGACACTTTAAGGGATCTGGGAGCCTTGTGCCAGGCATCTGGGAGAAACGTCCATCCCGTCATGCCATTCCACTGAGCAGTGTGAAGTCCTGAAGTCCATGGACACAGAACAGCTTTCCATTTAAATTTCTTTCAACAGTGTTTATAGTTTTCGGTGTACAAAAATTGCACCTCCTTGGTTAAAGTTACTGCTTTTGATGCTATTGTAAATTGATTGTTTTCTTAATTTCTTTTTTTTTTAAGATTTTTCCTTGTAGTATAGGAATAAATTGATTTTGGTGTATTATCTTGTACCCTGCCACTGTGATGAATTTGTTGTTTAGCTGTGACAATCTCTGTGTATCCTGGAATTTTCTACATGTCCTATGTCACTGTGAAGAGATGGCTCTACCTGTTCCTTTCCAATTTGGAGGCTTTTGAATGCTTTTTCTTGCCAAGTTTCTCTGGCTAGAACTTCTAGAACAGTGTGAATAGATTCAGGGAAAATGGGATCCTTATTCCCAATCTTAAGGGGAAGCTTTGGTCTTCCACCATTAGGTATAATATTCAGTGAGGGCTTTTCATCAGGTTAGGGGGTTTCCTCTTTTTCTAGCTTCTTGAATGTTCTCCTGACAATGTGTTGCAGTTTGCCTTTTCTGCATCAAAGTGATCATATATTGCTATAAGAGATAGTGCCTGGTCTGAATGTTTGTGTCCTTTATTTCTATACAGAATTCCTAACCCCAAGGTGACAGAGGGAGGTGGGGTCTTTGGCTCTGCCCTTATGAATGAGAGTAGTGTCCCTATAACAGAGGTCTGAGAAACTGGGCAGGCTGGTGTCGCCCTGTGGCCCCAACTATTTGGGAGACTAAGTATTTGAGACCAGTCTGGGCAACATAGGAATCTCTGTCTTTAAAGGATTTAAAAAGAAAGAAGAGAGAGAGTGTGTGTGTGTTGAGGGAGACCTCACAGTCCCTTTCACTATATGAGGACACAGTGAGAAGGTGGTATCTATGAACCCAGAAGTGGGCCCTCCCCAGGCATCGAATCTACTGGCACCTTGTTCTTGGACTTGCCAACCTCCAGAACTGTGAGAAATTTCTGTTGCTTTAAGCCAGCCAGTTTATGGTATTTGTTATAGCAGCCCAACAGACAGGTGGTGAAGAGCACTCCATGGACGTGGTGATTTTATTTATTTATTTTTAAATATTTATTTTTTAGGTGTAGATGGACACAACACAATGCCTTTATTTTATGTGGTGCTGAGGATCGAACCTGGGTCCCGCCCATGCTAGGCAAGTGCTCTTAACGCTGAGCCACAATCCCAGCCCGGAGGTGGTGATTTTAATTGGAATTGAAATGTTTAGTATAGCTTCTGCAATCCTGAAAAATTATCATATATGATCTGTTACAATCTGGGGATATGATATATATAAATCAACAGCTCATTTCGAAGTTGAAGTACTTTTTTTGGATTTTATTGACACTTTCAAATGCTACTGCCTTGATAGAGCAAAATTCTACAAACTGAACCAAATTTTTAAAATAAAGAAAAAAGAAGTACAATGAGTTAAGAAAGACTGTCTAGCTTGGCACAGAGGTGCATGCATGTAATCCCAGCAACTTAGGAGGCTGAGGCAGGAGGATTGCACGTTTCAGTCCAACCTGGGCAACCTAGGGAGAACCTGTTTTAAGAAATAGAAAGTCCAGTGGTCCATTTTCAGAATATAGTATTTAGCCTTCATTGGGATGTATGACCCAATCCTAGGTATTGTAACTACAGCCCTTCCCCTTGCCCTCCCCAAATTTAAAATTAGCAAATGCATAGATTGTAACCCCAGCTCCTCCTGTCCTCCTCCTATCAGAGCAAGGGGCAGTGCTCTATTAGGAACAAAATGAGAAGCTCCCCCCACCCAGTGTGCTTGCTTACAGCATACTCTGCAGAAGTAAGGTTTTCTCTTTGCCTTCCTGAGCTACTTTGGAGCATGCCTTTGATTCCTTGAAGCACCCTAGTATTTCTAACACTGTCTCAAAACGATAAATAAAAAAGGCTAAGGATGTAGGTCAGTAGTAGAGCACCCCTAGGTTCAATCCCCAGTACCAGAAAGAAAAAGCAACAATAAAAAACTAATTATTGTCTTGTTCAGAATACAAATTATGTGACTTTTCATTATAATAACAATTAGTAATTTTACTGAAATATAGAGTAAAACGCTAAAATTTTCTGGAATGGAGACAAATCATGATGTCTTTATTTTCTTCCAATTATGTAGGAGGCTTTTTTAGAGACTGCTTCATTTTCCCAGAGGACAAGTCCTCCACTTCCATGTACAAGGCTGACAGCTGTCCCGGGAGTCCCCACTCCCCAGCCAGTGTGCTTGCTTGAAGGCTTGTGAGGGCCTCAACTGACATCTGTATTAACCAACACTGCCAAACTCTCACCAGAGCACCCTGACATGTGCACTGCAAAGAAAACTCTACCATTGCTGATGCTCTGTGGGCCTTCAGTTGTACTGAAGCAAGAATTAAAGACAGGCAGTCAGTGTAGATAGGTATGGGATTCCGGGTGTAAAGATGGAGTCTTTGGGTCTGGGAAGTTGAAGGCACCCGTGGAGGATTGAAATGTTAATGCCTCCAGAGCCCTTAGCAAGGTAACCTACCCCTGCTCCAATCTGTGGCTAAGGTAACTTGTCCCTGGCTGCAAGGAGTTATATGTGTTAATTAACGCCTCCTGGGCTGCGACCTGCCTGGATTACTCCGTAGGGCCCTTTGCCTGGCATCTGCTTCTCATCACATAACCAGGAAGGACAGAGATAAGGGGGAAGAGGGCAGGAGAACAAAGAAAGCCTAAAATGTCCATAGTCCCCTTCTCCTTCAGGGGAGAAGTCTATTATTATTCAAATAAAACTAGCTTTCTATGCTTGCCTCGAGGATTCTCTGATTTCAACATCTGAGGAAGCAGAACTCGGTCCTGATTTTCATCGCCAGCGGTATCAACATGAAAACCTCATCCCTTTATGGATATTTGAGGGTTTTGTCGTTAGGAAACACACTTTCACAATAAGACGTCAGGTAGGAGGGCAGGGTGCAGTTTATTTACCGGTTGGTGGACCGGTTGCTTTTAAAGCCTTGTACTCTGATAGGATGCGAGCCCCCTGTGAGCTCCTGCCCGGGCCCTCGAGCTGCGCCAAGGCCGGTCACCAGCACCCCAGGTAGGGCGGTGCTGTGGCACAGTGAAGGCTGCGGCGCAGTCGTGCGAAGATGCCGGGCCATTAGCAAAACGGGCGATCGGAACGGTCCGCGCGAAAGGAGCAGGACCGCGGAATCTACGGAGCAGTCACGAGGCCCGCAGCGAAGGGCACACTGCTCCCGGCGGGTCGTCCCTGCCAAGGCGTCCCCCGTCCCCGTGGGTGCAGCGGGGCAGTCTGCGCCCTGTCCTTTCGCAGACAACTAGGGGCTCCCGAGAGCGGCCACACCGGGAAGAGGGAGCAGGCAGACACCGAGGTGCGGGGCCTCACGGCGGGGAGGGCGACCGAGGCCTGCGCGTCCCCACGCTCCTGGCCCAAGGCCCCGGCCCCGCGCGCCACAAGCATCGCGCGGGCGAGCGGCGCGGCTCGGGGCGGCCGGACTCTGCCAGGGTCACGCTGCGCGCGGGGGCGCCGGGCGCGCAGCCCTCGCCAGTCCCCGGCGGCCCCGGCAGGCGCTGGAACCTGGCGGGCGCGCCCGGGGCTCGGACTCTCGCGCGGCGCGCGGCCCTGCGCCTTTCCCGGAAGCGCCCGAGCGGCGCCGGCGCAGCCGGGACTCGGCTCCCAGAGTGCCGCGGGCCGCCCGCCCCACCGGCCGCGCCGCCGCTGACCGCGCCGCAAGCTGCCAGCGCTGGGGGCCGGGTGCGGGTGAGACGGCGCGGGCCGCAAGCCGGGTGGGGACCGCCAGGTGTCCAGCGGGGCCCCTCCCGTCAGAGTGGTCGTGGGGGCCCTGCGGCCGGAGCCGATTTCCAGCTCCCAGGTTGGGTCCTCCAGGTGGCGGCGCGCCGGGTTCCTCCAGCCCGCGGCCTGCAGGGAAGAATCTGGCTCGCGAGGGCCTCCAGGGACCAGCCAGGCGTGGGTGGACACGGGGCTGCAAACACCATACTGCCCCTTGCCTGTCTGTGGCTTGTGGGCTTTGGCTGAGAGTAGCCCCCACGATTTGCTCCTGGAGCCTCGGCGCCAAGGTTTTCTGCCTCCAGCTGCTCTGGTTCCGCTGTGGAGCCCTAGGCAGGGCCGCGGGAAACAGGACTGGGAGGTGGTGTGATTCAGTCCAGCAGGGTCTGTCTGACTGCCTGTGGCCTGTGTCCCCTCTCGGGGTCTGCCCCTGTGACCGTTGCCCCCGGGGATGCAGCATGGAAGGATTGGAACCGGATGGCCTTGGCCTCACACCAATTTGGCCCTCCAGGTACAGCCACCATGGGTGACCCCCAGAGGTCCATGCGGATCCTAGTGACAGGGGGCTCTGGACTGGTGGGCAGAGCCATCCAGAAGGTGGTGGAAGATGGGGCTGGCCTTCCTGGAGAGGAATGGGTGTTTGTCTCCTCCAAAGATGCTGATCTCACGTGAGTGGAGACCGTCCCAGAAGCATTCCCCTCCTCCCCATGCCCTCTCCAGACAGAAGAGCCTGGAGTCACATCTGCTGACCCCCACCCCCAGCTTGGCCCCAGCCACAGTCTGGGCCCTCCCTGCCAGGTGTCTGGCCTGGCCTAGGTGTGCTGCTCTGGGCAGGCATCCTCCCATTCCTCTCTGCAAGCCATTCCTTCACAGCTACCCACTGAACTCCACCACTTGTGCTTTTGGCTGCCCCTTCTGCAATGGTCCCACTTAGTACTAGCCCCCATTCCCCAATACAGGGCCCTCCACGGGGCCCCTGACAACCCGGCTTCCTCCAGGGACACAGCACAGACCCAAGCCCTGTTCCAGAGGGTCCAGCCCACTCATGTCATCCACCTTGCTGCAATGGTAGGGGGCCTGTTCCGGAATATCAAATACAATTTGGACTTCTGGGTAAGTTGGGGGGAGACAGCAAGCACTGGAAGACAGGAGCCCAGGTTCTGAGAACTTTCTAGCGGATCTCCCACTCTCAGGTTCCTCTTCCTACCTCATGGAGTCCCTGAGGATTGGGGCTTGGCACAGCCTGATGGGGGCAGCCCCTGAGGGACTCCCAGTGACACACATTCGTGCTGCAGGCAGAAGGCCATGTAGGTGGGTCTGGGGGCATTTAGATCAGTAAAAAGTCAACCTGCAAAAAGGGTTGGGGATTTGAAAGAAGCTGTCATTCTACGTGGCTTGAGGCTGGTTCCTGTTTCCTGAGCCAGGCCCACTGTGCTCGATGGGGTGCAAGGATGTCTGTGCCCTGGGAATAGGGGGTATAATGTAAGGGCTGTACCCCTACTGGTTGGCCTCCTGCCTCTGGGCAGCAGCCTTGGCCTGACTGGCCTGTGCCAGCACTGGGATCAGAAGCTTCCGCAAGACTCTGCCCAGAGTCACTGTCACCCATGGCCCTCCTTGTCTATCTCAGCCTCCCCCATAAGTTGCCTGGCCACCAGCCTCTTCCCTGTTCTGAGGCCTGGCCAAATGCCATGGCCATCTCATGTCAATTTAGGAAAGGGAACTGGGAGTCATGGGGGATCAGGGTAGGCCACAGGGAAGGAGACCTGGGTGTGAGCTCCCCTGGGGTGGGCAGGGGAGGGGCCACTTCTGTGTAGTGGGAGCCTCCCACCCAGGGCTAGGTTAGGCCCCTGAGCTCCTGTCCCTTCTTCTGTGACCTGCCCTGCCTTCAGCAACCCCAGGCAGGCAGAACAGAACCAGACCCTATGTGGCTATGATAGGGATAGTGGCTTCAGTAAGGTCAGTGCTGAGAGGCTTTGTCTTGTCCCAGGAGGAGTTAGGACGAACAGGCACAGGTACTGCCTATGTCTGAGGGGCCAGAGTATGTCCCCACCTCTGTCTCTGGAGGAGTGGAAAGGGGCTGGGTTCCTGCCTGGGCAGCCTGACCTGCCCTGCTCCACCCTGCAGAGGAGGAATGTGCACATCAACGACAATGTCCTGCATTCTGCCTTCGAGGTGGGCGTCTGCAAGGTGGTCTCCTGCCTGTCCACCTGTATCTTCCCTGACAAGACCACCTACCCTATTGATGAGACCATGGTGAGGGGGGCCTATGTGGGGTAGGACTTGGTCTGTGGGTGGAACCTGGAAGTGGGAGCCTCAGTGCATCTTTTGCTCCCATAGATCCACAATGGGCCACCCCACAACAGCAATTTTGGGTACTCCTACGCCAAGAGGATGATTGACGTGCAGAACAGGTCCTCCTCTGCTGTCTTGGCCAGGCCTAACCAGGAGTGGGGGAGGGCTTAAGCTCTGGTGGTGGGGCTAGCTGGGTGGCTGCCTTCTTGAGTCTGGTGTTTACATCTGTGAGAGACCAGCTGTGGGTGGGGTCTGTGTCCTGGGATGAGGCAGGAGACCCTGGGCCTCTGCAGGGCCTACTTTCAGCAGCATGGCTGCACATTCACCGCGGTCATCCCCACCAACGTCTTTGGGCCCCACGACAACTTCAACATCGAAGATGGCCATGTGCTGCCCGGCCTTATCCACAAGGTGCACCTGGCGAAGAGTGAGTGCGGCTGCCCAGCACGTCCCATCCAGGGTTCCCAGGGTTCTGGCCTGATGGGGTCCCTGGGCTCCCATCTAGACAGCTCATGGCAGCTGGAGTACTACTGACAATTGCTCTTGCCCCTAATCTGCAGGCAGTGGCTCTGCCCTGACAGTGTGGGGTACAGGGAAGCCACGGAGGCAGTTCATCTACTCGCTGGTGTGTATAAGGCTGGCCTGCTGGGTTGATGGGGAGGCAGTGGCATGAGGGGGTCTGGGTAGAGTCCCTATGGGTGCCTGGGGGTGCCTGGGAGTCCCTGGTCCAGCTGTGAGCTCAGAAAGAGAAAGGGCTGCCTGGAGGAGGAACCCCATACCCTCCTGGGTGAGCCATGGCTGTGCCCCCAGTGAGCAGAGATAGCAGTGTGGCCCCCTGGCTCCCTCATCTGCCTGTCACTGTGGGCTCTGACCTGCCTGCCTGCCTGACCTCCAGGACTTGGCCCGGCTCTTCATCTGGGTCCTACGGGAGTACAGTGAGGTGGAGCCCATCATCCTCTCAGGTTGGCACCACGGCCCCCACACCCATTCCTACAGTGGGACAAGACCCAGTTTGTCTTTGAGGGCTGGCAGAGGAGTGGGGGCAGAATACCCACGGGAGGCTGGTAGGAAGCCTGGTAGGCCACTGCCCATTGCTCCCACAGTGGGCGAGGAAGATGAGGTCTCCATCAAGGAGGCAGCTGAGGCTGTGGTGGAGGCCATGGGCTTCCACGGGGAAGTCACCGTATCCTTTGGGGCACTCTAGAGGAACTGAAGCCCAGGTGGGACACTCAGCCTAACACCATTTTGTTGCCTGGTGGTACTTGCCCTGGCAGCTGGAGGGGGGTCTGTCTTGGCCAGGCTCCCTCCCCAGGAAAGGCAGGTTTAAGGTAGCGAGGAGGGGGGGTGTACCTCCTGCTGTGGCCTTGACCAAGGTGCCTAGTATGATACCACCAAGTCAGACGGGCAGTTTAAGAAGACAGCCAGCAACACCAAGCTTCGGGGCTACCTACCTGACTTCCGGTTCACACCTTTCAAGCAGGGTGAGCCCCTCCCCCTCCAGTGTCCTCCCCTTGGCAACCTCCTATCCCCCGGCCCCTCCTTGGCTTTGGACCCTCCTCCACTGCTCCTCCCTTTTGCTCCTTGCTGTGGCTTCTGCTTTCCTACTGTGATGTGGAGGTGGGGTGCTCTGCAGATCTGGTCACCAGGCCTGGTCACCTGGGAATCAGGGCGTTGCAGCTTGGAGGAAGTGACTTCCCTGTGTCCCTGGGACCTGTACCCTCCCTGGGTCCTGTAGGTCACTGTGGTCTTGGCCCTCACCTGCTCACCAGCCCTCACTTGTCCACCTGCAGCTGTAAAGGAGACCTGTGCCTGGTTCACTGACAACTATGAGCAGGCCCGGAAGTAAAGCTGTGCAGACGAGCAGGCACTCAGCTGGCAAAGCCCAGTGCCCACCACCTTCAGACCTTGCCAGGAACCAAGGACGCTGCTCAGCAACCCGGGCCACGTCCCACTGCCTCTGCCAGGGGTTCCTGGCAGTTGTCCAGTGGGGACCCATTTGTGCTCATCCTCAGGGAAATCAAGGCCCGGCCCGGCCCAGCACCTCACCCCCCACCGCCCTGGCCTCAGTGCACTCTGGGCCCGCTGTGCTTTGTCTGGGAGCCAATAAAGTACGTTTCCACAGACCTGTTTTCGGCAGCTCTGTGCTCAGCCATCCCGCACACCCAACACTGACTGTCTCCCAGACTGGCCAGTCCTGGGGCCCATTCTTCCCTTGGGATCATCAGCCCCTGAGAACTGATTCTGAGGAGCAGGAAGCAGCAGGCAGAACAGGCTGTTGATGGGCTGAGGTGCAGAGAGGGAATGTCTCCGTAGTCCAGTTGGGTCTTAGTGAAGCCTAGCCCTTTTAGGCCTGGGTGAGCAGCTCCCTGGGGCCTGCTCATCTGAACCCTGAGGACCTTTAGGAAAGATGCAGGGTGTGGATTTGGACGAGCTCAGCGGGCTGTCTGATGTTGTGAGGAGGACCTGGGGTGGTGATTGGGTAGCACGGACTTCTCTGAGACTCTAGAAGAGCTGAGCCAGGCCTGGCCCTTCATCTCATAGCCCTCTGCAACAGCTGGTTGCGCGGCAGGGGTTTGGGGGAGGCTGCACTGTTTTTTTGATGGGTCAGCTCCAGCCACCAGGGGGTTGAGTATCATTGGCCATCGCATTTTCGGTGGACAGACATGCAGTCAGTAAAAAACAAGGTCTGGCCCCTAGCTGGGTCCAGAACCCACCACAGCTCCCTATTACCGTCAGCACTGACCGGTGTGCTGGTACGCCCCGCCCACCGACTTCCCCGCAAAAGGCCAGGAGGAGCCCCGTAGCTCCTGCAGCCAATGAGCAGCGAGGGGCGGGGTCTACCGCCGCAACCTCGCAAGTAGTGACCCCGGACGCGATGGAGGCTGCGGCGGTGCCAGCCCGGCTGCGCGTGGGCTTCGTGGGTGCGGGCCGCATGGCGGAAGCCATTGCGCAAGGCCTCATCCGAGCAGGTGGGGTGGCTGTGCCTGGTTGGGGGGTCCTTTGTGGGAACAGGTCGCCTGGCTGGGTGGGAGGGGCGCGCCCGGGTGGGTGCTGTGAACTGCAGGGCTCCTGGGCAGCAAGCTCCCGGTGCTTCCACGGTCCCCACGCCCCCAAGATCTCCGGGCTGGCTGAGCCCTCTTTCCACCAGCTGTGGCTGTGCTAGGCGTGGTGCCCACCCTCTCCTCTAGACTTGGCTTCCTACTGTGGGCGGCCAGAGCTGCTGCCCGACCTGGCCGTGAGCCATGTGTGAAACCAGCCTCTGGATGCGCGTGTGGATGAGCAGAATAAAGAACATTCTGGCTTGGGAAGAGTTAGAAAAAGTAACACGCCTTAGGCTTTTTTTTTTTTTCAGTACAGCTGTGACTTTGACTTTGTATACTTTGGGTGTAAAGAATACAATTAACTTCACCTGTTTCTTATTGTCTTTAAGTGGCTGCTAGGGAATTTATAGTTACACATTTGGTTCGAACCATATTTCTCCTGGACAGTGTTGACTTACCCTGGCATCTATGGCCAGCTTCCTGGACTCATGGCCTAGGTCCAGGTAGCCTTCCTGAGCTTCTAATTCTTTTTTCTATTTGTGTGCAGGCTCCACATCCAATAGTGGACAGCATTGTGGACATTTAGACCAGATAATTTCTCCTGTGTATCCAAGGGCATGTAGCCTTCTGGGCCTCTTCTCCCTAGATGCTAGTTACCTTTGAGTTGTGACAGCTGGTCTTTAGACAACACCAGTGTCTTCTGGGCCAGGGATATCATCCCAGCTGGGCTCAATAGTATATAGTAGGGGCATTACTGCCACCCTAATCCTATACTGCACAGCATTTAGAAACCTTTGCATGTAAGTTACAGATAGGGATCTGGTGACCTTTGGCTCTCTGCCTTCAGCCATACTTCAAAGTCCAGACAGGTCACAATCAATCAGAAAATAGTTTACCACAGTCTCAGGCAAAACCTGATGGTTCACCTGCATCCAGGGGCCATGGTGTGCATTTCTGTCTTCCTGTTCCACCTTACAGAAATCTGGCTCAGTTTTCTCATCCCTATATCCTACAAAAGCAGACAGTTTCCACCAAATGGTCATTTAGCTTCCTCTAGGACATCCTAGCACACTCCTTTCCTTCAAGGAAGCCCAGCTGCTGCTGAACCTTCTGTTAGCTGCTTCATACCCACTCCTCCACCCCATCCCTAGACCTGGTGCTCCCTCTGGGGTTCTGTCCCTTGGCCAACAACCTAAGTGCTCCAGGCAGCCATCCCTTCCCTGGAGGCTGGGGCCCCTAGCATCTGTGTCCTCACAGGACCAGACAAACTCCTGGCCCCTGTGTCCAGCAGCAGGCAGGTGACAGTGACTGCCGAGTTGAATCAGGTGGGTTTGATAGCCTGACTTCGGGTTGCCAGGCCATTCCATCTCCTCCTCATCAGTGGCCTCCACCTCTGCCTTTCTCTCTAGGCAAAGTGGAAGCTAAGCAGGTGCTGGCCAGTGCACCAACAGACAGGAATCTCTGCCACTTCCGGGTGAGCAGGGCCCAGATGACTTGTCCTCCTGAGACAGTCATTAGGTTCAGGAAAGTGTAGCTTGTTAAGACTGTCTGGGTGGCTGGGGAAAGGGAGGTCAAAGGCCAAGAGGAAAGTCAAGGTTGTAGAGGGAGGCGCAGGTACAAGTTGAACACATTCGTGCTCTATTGGGGTAGGCAGGGCTGGGCATGGGCATTCATTGGGATGGAGGGGTCAGGAAGGTGCAGGCTTGGGGGTCTGTGAAGAACAGGGCCAGTTGGGTGGTCTTGGCTATTGAGAGCAGGGCTAATGCAGATTCTTAAAGTGAAAGAGGCCTGAGGGGACTCGTGGGGTGCAGGGCAGCTTGTGGTGTGGTAGAGTGCCCGCTCATGCAGCTCTGGTCCTGGTCCTGGTGTCCCTCTGCAGGCTCTGGGTTGCCAGACCACTCACTCTAACCAGGAAGTGCTGCAGAGTTGCTCGCTGGTCATCTTTGCCACCAAGCCCCAAGTCCTGCCAGCTGTCCTGAAAGAGGTGGCTCCTGTGGTCACTGCTGAGCATGTCTTGGTGTCTGTGGCTGCCGGGGTCTCCCTGAGCACCCTGGAGGAGGTGAGCAACACTTGTGGGTGAGGCCTTGACCACAGCCTCGGCTGTGCTGGTCGGACTGGAGGAGCAGACAGCCTCTTGACACTGCCTGGGACATGGGGACTGGAGCCTACAGTTGCCTGAGACATCGCCCGGCAGGGCCCTGTCCTGCAGGCTGCCTGATTCTGACCTCTCTCTGACCAGCTGCTGCCCCCGGACACACGAGTGCTACGAGTCTCACCCAATCTGCCCTGCATAGTCCAGGAGGGGGCCATGGTGATGGCACGGGGTCACCATGCTGGGAGCGAGGAGGCCAAGCTCCTGCGAAATCTGCTGGAAGCCTGTGGGCAGTGTGAGGAGGTGCCTGAGGCTTATGTGGACATCCACACTGGCCTCAGTGGCAGTGGTGTAGCCTTTGTGAGTATTGAGTTGCCCATACCCCACCCCCCAGCAGGTAAGCCCTCAGCCAAAAGAGGCCTTCCCGGTTTCACATGATACCTGTGCCCTCAGGAGTCCAGCCTTGGGGCCTCAAGTGCTGGCTCCAAGCCTCCCGTTAGCCCTTCTCCCTCTCCAAACTTTGTGCTTTGGTGGCCTTTGGGGCTGATCTTGGCTCTGGGCGTGCATGGTAATGCTCCAGGCCTTGTTCCTGAAGCTTCTGAGGCTTCTCAAGGCCGGGAGCTGTGTCTGGGCAGTGTCAGCATTGATGTTACCCTTCCACCATGCTGCTGCTATAGGTGTGCACATTCTCTGAGGCCCTGGCTGAAGGCGCCATCAAGATGGGTATGCCCAGTGCTCTGGCTCACCGCATTGCTGCCCAGACCCTGCTGGTGAGTGAGGGTCTTCCCAGCGGAAGGTTGGAAAGGTCCAACCTGTACCATCTCCAGTGGCCAGGGAGGAAGCAGGCCTGCAATCCCAGGCCAAGGTTGGGGAAACATGTAGCTACCCCACCTCTCTTGAGTGACCACCCCTAATGTCTTTCTTCCCAGGGGACAGCCAAGCTGCTGCAGCAGGAGGGACAGCACCCGGCCCAACTACGGACAGATGTGCTTACACCAGCTGGCACCACCATCTATGGGCTCCACGCCTTGGAACAAGGTGGACTGCGAGCGGCTACTATGAGCGCTGTGGAAGCTGCCACCTGCCGGGCGAAAGAGCTCAGCAGGAAATAGGTCCCAAGCTCAAGAGGAGGCCATGGCTCCTTGCGCACCTGAATCTCCTGAGTGCCTAGAACAGCCCTTTGTGGCACACTGGCCTCCTTGCTGCCCAGACCCACCCCACCCAGTTCCCTCCTTCCCCTTCCCTTAAGGACCACAATTCTCTTTCCATCCCACACAAGTTATAAATGCAGAGATAAATGCAGCCCCTCCTGTGGGGATCTCCCACCTGTAATAGTGGTGACCTTACCCTAATGAGCCCACCATAGTGGGTGATGTTCTTTCTTAGGGGCCTGCATTTTGGGGTGGTTGGAGGCCAGGAGCAGAGCTGCTGGCAACAAGAGTAGCTGGGGCTGGTCTGGAGCGCTGCCCTTCCTCAGATTTCTCAGCAGTGCAGCCAGTGCTCTCACCACAGCTCCAGGACCTGCCCAGGACCATGGAGTCTACACAAGATGCACCCTTCCCTCCTTAAAGCCAGTGAGCTTGGCCTGCTGCTGTTGGGAAGGCTGTGTGCCTGCTGGGTCCACCTCAGTGTTTGGGCAGTACCAGGTGGGCAGTGGGCAGTCAGAGAGGCTGCTCAGTGTCTGGGAGAGGAGACCCCCCCCCCTGCCAGCCAGATGCCCTCTCCCTCCTTTGGACCTTAAGCTCCTGGCACATAGTCAGGTGGAGCCAGGCCCTGGGATGGCCTCTTGGGTCAGAAGTCTTGGAGGTCCTGTGGCCATGGCATCATTACACTGGCCTCTGCAGGATTCGACTCTGAAGTATGTCCCTTAAGATGGACCACAAGTCAGAAAAGCTAGGACTAGGAGAGGAGCAAGGCCATGAGATTGAGGGCTGGGGCTCTGAGGTCACTGAGTGGGGAGGGTCTGGCCTAGCAACATACAGCTCTGATCCTTACACTGGGCACCACCCATCCCTCTGCCTCTGCTCTCCTGGGCCTGGCTTGCCACACAGACTCGGGCGTGCTGCACTCTCCCTTGCTTCCACTCCTCGCCTCTTGAGCCTGGGCAAAAGCACCTGCATGCCTGGCTTGGGTGGCTCTGACAGTGCCATCTGCTAGCTGGGTGATGGCAGGTATATTATGAAGCGGGGCTAGTGGCACTTAGGCAGCAGGGACAGGATGTTCCATCCCTGTGTGTAATTCTCTGCCATGCCTCCTGTCTCTACACTGTCTCGCTCATTCTCCCCAAGACTGCTGCCCAGGGCATCCCACCAAACCCCTTTCCCAGCCAGAAGATGGCTGCTCTCGGTCAGTGACTGCTTAGTCAGACCCTGGTGCTTTCACTTGTCAGAAGAGCCAGCCTGATTTCCTTATCTGTGAAATGGGAATAAAGGACATCTCAGAGCTCTGGGTGAACTGGTCTTTGATTATAGGCTGAGAAATTCAAGTTGCAAGTGCCTGAAACTTTTGAAGACATACCCCAAGAGTAGGAGCAGGTGTAGGCAGTGTGGATGGCAGAGGGTCCCATTCTAGCTACAGGTCACTATCATGTGGGTTGTACAGACAGGATCACCCACTGCCCTGTATCTTGACCCTGATCAGGCCACACCAAGCCTGGGCATGTTGAGGTTCCAAGACACTCTGTAGGCTGCACTGAGCAGGAACTCCTTGGGCAGCCCACCTAAGAGCCACCTGCCAAGAGAATCACTATTGTATGAGCCAACACCTGTCACTGCCTGAGACCTGGCAGGGAAAGCACCTCTCCATTGCCCAGTCCTGAACTTTTGCAGGCTGTGATGGAGCCCCAGGCCCAGCTATGGCCCAAAACAAAGACACATTAGTTATTCAAGAAGGGAAACTTTGATGGGGAACAGGGTTGTGATCATGCCATCTAATCCTCTTCTGCCTTATGCTGCCAGGCTAAAATTACAGCTTTTCAAGATGGAAACTGGCTGTGACCAGGGTACCCTCTTCAATCACTACTGCTCAACTTTTATGCCTCCCAATCTGTGCGGTGTTCCAGGTTCAGGCATTGGACCAAGAGTTACAAAAATAAGACTGAAATAGGTGCTCATGAAGTTGACATGTTCCATATTTATTACACAAGTGCCATTGGGCTATGTGGCCGTGAGCACTCAGTTGTGAGTGGGCTGAGTGCTAGAGGAAGGTCCCTGGACACTGCGTGAACCTCACATGCCTACGGTCTTCTTGAGGACACACTGCTGGGGTCAGGTGTCACCCTTGGGCACACCCAGTGAGGGCCAGATTGCCAGGCTCCTGGAGGGCCATGTCCCCAGCTTAGGGAGCTCCCCCTTCTCTCCCTCTCCGAGCATGCTGTTCCATCCACAGCCCAACTGATGTTCAGGCAGTCACTTCCCAAGTGTGCAGAGGCCTGGGGGAAGACCGCCTGTGGCTGCTTCAGCCATATCCTTCCCCAAAAAACAGTGGTTTGGTGATGGCTTCAACAACCTGCATTTGCCTTTTTATTCACAATGCCTTCCCTTCCCCAGCCCAGGAACTTTGTTAATGACCCTGAAGCAGAAGCTGCTATCTGCCAGCATTACCACAGCCCAAGGGCTGCCACCTGCCAAGGAGAAACTGCAGCTTCAAGCTCCCCAGTGACTTGCCATGTTATCTCAAGCCAGAGGTGGCAAACTCAGAAAGCCCACAGCGAACAGCAGTGGGGCACAGGCCAGCTGGATATGCAGCCCTCCTGAAGGGGTCCATGAACCCTGGGGTATCCCTACCACAGAGCCAAACCCAGAAATGTGGTGGCTGTGAGCCAGTGGTAGAGCTATGGTTGGGGCTAAGCATCTGTGCACCACTGCAAGGCCCCAGGGGTCCCTGAGACCCATAGCTGTGGATGCCCATGGGGCCAGGGATCAGAGCAGAGCAGCTCTCTCCACAAGCAGGCGACAACCACCTGAAACTGCCCATGGCCCACAGGAACACCAGTGTATCCCATTTTACAAAAACACTTTTTTTTTTGTGGTGCTGAGGATCCATCCCTGGGCTTCATGTACGCAAGGCAGATGCTCTTCCACTGAGCAACATCTCCGGCCCAAGGCAACACCTTCTGAGCCCTCTCGGGGTGTTTCATGGACCAGCAAATGTCAGTACACAAATCCACAACTTGACAGACACTAAGGAGCTCCCTAAAACCCTGCCGGCCTGCACTTAGCTTGTTTATAGAGTGGTCATCTGGTGCCAAAGGGACAGACCAGAACCACCTCCCAGGCCATGAGTGTCCTTTCAAGAGGCATGGGACAGGTGGTGAACAAGTAAGAGGTCTCACCCCTGGTTTCTTAGACAGCAAGAGGGCTGCTACTTGAGGCTACCCAGTCTGCATGCACACTAAGGTCCGGTGTGCAGTCCTCACCATGCTCCTGATCCAAAGTTCACTTTTCCTCAGAGCCCTGGAGGCAGAGCCAGAGGAGCAGGGTACCAGCTCCTAGTCTGGGTGCTGGGTAGATATGAAGGCTCTGGTGTAAATGCTTTAGATCTCCTGGGGCCCAGTCCCAGCTACTTAGGCTGGAGATCCTTAGCCAGCCCTGACCACCAAAGAGTTTCTAGGTCTGCAGGCTCCAGGAGGTTGGACATGGAGGTGGCCAGATGAGCTTCAGCAGGTATGGATGGAGGCTGCTGCCTAAACCTAGACAGGTAGACTTTTGATTCTCTTCCTCCCAGATTCTCATACCTTCCCTTGCACTCAGGTTTGAGATATGTATAATATTACATGTGTGTGTCACACAAGCACATGTTCTTTTTTTTTTTTGGACTGGGGCAGTTCCAAGGAGCTGTTTGTTCTTAGACCCGAGTGGAAATTGCTCTGGGGAGGTACTTCCTCCCACTGCTCCACTGTCAGTTACAGCCCTTCTGGTCCATGGACATAATGTCTGTGCACAGGCACCTGCACTCACCAACTGTTTTTGTGTTCAAGGCTTAGACTACTAGGACATCAGGTGAGGACATGGGGTCCTCCTCAGCCCTGGCACCAGACTCCTCATGAGGGTTCAGGGCAACATCTCTGCCAAAGCAGCAAAAGGCATGGGCACCTCTTAGTCCTAGGCCATTGGGAGACTTCTGAATCTAGAACTGGACAGAGCAACAGAATGGCATGAGTGATGGACAGTCACCTGGCCCTTTCTACACTCTCAAACTGAGCTACCCAGAAGCAGCTCCTCTGTCACACCCTTGGCAGTATCAAGAAGTGGAAAAATTTGGGGAGGGGGGCTGGGGCAAAAAGAGCCCAAGGGGGTTGCACTAAGGCACTGTGGATTGTCCCCAGATGGCTGCCAGTGCCAGGCCTGTTCCGAGGTAGGTTATGTGGATCCAAGCCCTGGAGTTAGACAGTGTTCTGGGGTCAATGAGGGAATCAATCAGGGACCAAATCTCAACACTTGCCAAACCCATGGAATAAAAGATGTGCTGAGAATGAAATCTTAAGGACTTAGAATCCAAGTGGAACAGAAGTCTACACTCCCTGCTGCATCCAGAACCTCAGTACTGAGTCCATCCTCCCCTTACCACTTCATTGTGAGCAACTGGCTTGGGCCTCCTGGGCACTGGGTCTGGGCTCTGATCCAGGAGGATGGGAGCCTGTAGTTTCCAGAGCAAGGGCAGGAGCAACTCAGAGACCATCTCATACTGCCCTTGTTCTCACTGTCCCCTCTGAAGAGCACCTTTAAAAACAGATTCAGATTCAATGTGTTTAAAAAAAAAAAAAAAGAGCAAACAAGTGGTTTACTTCTCCACTGAGATGATAGGACCAAGTAGCACCAGGGCCGCAGAACGATGGCGCAGAGGCCTCATCCAGTGCACATATAACCTGCTGGGGAGAGGAAGGTGTGAGCCCCACAGGGGCCAGAGCAAGAGCACTGTCAACTGCTCTCAGATGCTGTGACTGGGTGCCCAGCATGTTTAGGGGGAACCCCACGTGTATGACTGCTCAGGGAAGAGTGTGAGCTGAGGCCTCTCTTTTGGTATCCCCCCAGAAGACTGTGGACCATGGGGCAGGACATCACTTCATCAAAGGACCCCCTCCAAGCTGGACTGGGCTTGGACCCAGTAACCCCTGGGCCCATGTGGTGGGCCACCTCAGGGAGAAGAGAGGGAGGGAGATGTGAGACTGTGCATGCCTCTCCTTCAGAGTACAGGAAAAAGGCCACTGGGTCAGTGTGGTCACACACTGTCATCTGAAACTGCTGGGGAAGGTTCAATGCCCCCCAACCTCCGAGCCATGCTGATGAGTGAGCGCAGCTGTACCAGCCTCAGTGGCCCCACCTCATTGGGGTCCTGGCTCTCCAGCCACCGCAGAGCTGTCTCCAGCCCCCACACAGCCTCCCCTGCAGTGGGTACCAACACCCCACCACGCTCAGTGACCTCCTCCTCCTCCTCCTCTTCTCCACCCCCCATGCTAGAGGGCAGGCTGGCTGGGGATAGAGGGGCCAATGCAGGGGGCCAGACAGGGCTCACTTCCTCTCTGCAGACCTCAGGGAGGCCCCCATCATCGTCCAGGTGCAGCCACTCAGCCACCTCTTCGGGTGCCAGGCGCTTGTAGGCCAGAGCAGCCAAATGTGTGAGGTCACTAAGCGCCCTGCTGTGCTCCGCAGCCTCCTCAGCTTGGTGGGCTGACTGCTGTCCAGGCTCGAAGGCAGCCCTCAGGCCCAGCAGCCAGCAGCGCTCAATGCTGCCTGCCTGCACCAGGTCCCAGGAGAGGCCAGTCAGGTACAGCATGTCCTTAAGCATGAAACTGCGCATAAAGTCCAGTGGGGAGCCGCTAGCACAGGACACTGCCAGCCGCAGCAGCTCCCGCTTATACAGATGCTTGAAGGCAGCCACCACACCCTGCTCCAGCGGTGCAGGAATGTGTGCCCTGCTGCTGCCCTTGGACAGGAAAAGAACCCGCACAGCGCCGTCTGGTGTCTGCAGCTCTTCAGGGGGCCCCAAGGGCTCAGGCCCAAACCGCCTGGGGGTCTCCTCGCTTTCTTCCAGGGCGGGCATCCTGGTGGCCCAGCTTGGCCAGGGCGGGTGGGCCACCAGCAACACCGCCTTCTGCTGCAGACAGCTTCGACGCAGGTAGCGCTTGACGCCCGGAACGAATTCCTCAAAGAACCAGCCGCGTAGCAGCGGGCGGCTGAGCCAAGCATTGGGGCTGTAGCGGTAGGAGGCCGGGAACTTGTCCTGGTTGTGGTGGCGCAGGCTGGGCGGGTCCGGCAGCTGCCCGATGACCAGTGGCTTCAACTTGTGGCTGCCTGTCAAGTTGGCGGCCAGCAGCACTGTCACCCGGTCGGCGCGCCAGCCGCAGACCCTCGCCCTGGGGTCCTCTGTGCCCGGGGGTGCAGCCTGCTCCGGAAGCAGCCTCCAGTAAAGGCCAGTGACGTTGGCATTGTAGATCTGCTCGTCACCAT